AAAACACACTGCTGAGGGGAGCAGCGGGCGGCAGGACAGGTCTGAGCGCCATGTGGGACCCTCTTGCTGGTGGCCAGGGATTGAACAGGTGCTGCAGAGGCTGCGGGGCAGCTTCGCAACCCAGCGCTCAACTGCTGCGCCACCAGGGGAGGCCCCATGTAGCAATTTAAATCTTCAATATTAGTACCCTCTCTCTTCTTGTCAACATCAGATAATTATTCTCATCTAATTAGATGTTTTAACTGGCATTTGAAGAATATTGGTGAGACTTAAAAAGTCTTTCACCTTTTTTTTGTTGTTGTTTGTGTTGTGCTGAACTTTGTCTATTTTAAAAGACTCAAGCTTAAAGACATCTTGTTCCCAAGGACTAATAAAACCAAACTATTACACGCAGTGAAGAGACATTTCTTCACTTGTTTTGCTGTTCCTGATAACGATCTCAGAAAGATATTTATCAAAACAGCCAAGAGAGTAGTGCCACAATTAGCTACAGGCAGTCTGTACTCTCATAGGTTGTTTCCTTGGGGAAGCCGTGGCTTCCATTTCTATAAAACAACAGTGGCTACCACTGTTGCAAGTTATTTCTATGAGCTGTCAGACATTTTCAAATTAAGTATGTTATGAAAATCTACAGACTGATATACAAAATATAAAATCACCAAAAGTGTTTAAACACCTTTTCAGCCCCCAGCAACCATATCTTAACCATAACAGAAAACTCAAATGAAGATGCCCCAGAACACTATCAGAATTCAACTTGGAATTATATAAAATTAGAATCTTAATTAAGGAAGAACAATTTATATACTTAAATTAACTAGAATTCCATAAATGTAAATGTTGGTCTCTTCGAGTTTTAAGTTCTTTAGTAGAATTATACAATTTCGTTCATTCAGATATTGCACATTTCATGTTAAATTAATTATTAGGTATTTTATCATTTGTGCCACTCTCATGAATAAGACCTTCTCTGGACTGTATTTTCTAAACTGTTGTTGCTTTCATTGATTTTTGTACTTTATTCCATAGTCAGCCATCTTATTAAAGGTTGTATTAATTTTAATAGTCATCTAGTAGACTCTTAGATTTTCTAGATGTAACTTAAAACATAAGGTATTACTTTTATCTTTTACTTTTTCTTGTCTTACTGCATTAATTAGAACTTGCAAAATAACATTAACACCAGTGGTAATATCACAGACTAACTCAACTTGCATCTACTTCCAAAATTCTATTCTAGTCCATAAATCTATTCTATATATAGCATATTGCTCTATCTACCTAGAAAAATGGGGTGGGGGGGGTGCTTCGGATCTGTAATATCTTAGAAGGGGCCTCCTTGGTGACGCAGGGGTTAAAGACAGCTTTATCAAGCTACTGGCAGCCACGACAGCACAAGTTCAATTCCTGGCCAGCCAGGAAGCTGACCCACATGGTGCAACAGACCCCTCCTGTCTTGCACACTGCTCCCTCCCCTCAGCAATGTATTTCAGTACATCTGCCTGTTCTGCTCCCTAGTCTCTCTGGTGAATCCTCTCACTCCCTGCACACTGGCTTACATTCTAGTTCTTATATGAATAAACAAATAAATCATTAAAAAAAAAAATCTTGGAAGAAGTGAGTACATATGCCAGAGAAGTCTTTAAAAAGTTATAGATTTTAAAGCCTTTAAAGATACCAGCCACTTGACACATTTTGGCAGCTGATAGTATCAATTCAAAGTAAATTCTATACAAATTAAAAATGGTAAGTCAATTAGAGCCCCTCTCTTCTTTTCATTGCACAAAATCTTCAAGAAAGGTTTGAATTTTTGTTATTATTTTTTAATGACAAATTTCTAACCTTCTGAGCAAAAAGTAATTAAGTCTTTTTTTTTCTTTATTGAGGTAACACTGGCTTAAAACACTGTACATGATAGTACACTGTAATGTGAGGAATGTTTCACATTTCCTCACATATATGTTACCAGACCACTCCTAAGGTGTTTACCTTTCTTATGGTTATTTAGAAATAAGTGCTGTTCAGTTCCTGAGCTGACATCTGACTGTATATTTTATACAAAGCACCCAGGCTAAAAATTGGAACAAATAACTAGGTAACTTTGCTCTTATAGGAAATAACCAACAAATGTAAAATATACATAGTTTAAATCCATAAATTTTTCTTCTTTTTTTAAAGATTTATTTATGTATACAAGAACTGGGGTACAGGCCAGAGGTGTGGGGGTGAGAGGATTCACCAGAGACAGAGTAGGGAACAGAACAGGCAGATTGACTGATATACACTGCTGAGGGGAGCAGTGGGCGAACCAGGAGTGGTCTGCTATGCCATTTGGGTAGCTCCCTGGCTGGGGATCAAACTCATGGTACAAGGCTTCAGACAGATTCATAGGTTGCATCTTGACCCCTTGCATTACAGGGAGGTTCCCGAGTTGAATTTTTGTGTGTGAGAATTTCATAACTTTTTTTTTTGCCTTAGAGTTATCAAAATTCACCTTAGAAAATATCATGATTGAAAGTAAAAACCTTCAATTATTTGTTTGCTTTCCCTTTAAATAATCTTCTCCTTTACTAGGTCAAGATTCTGAGATTTAATTTAATGGTGAAGGCGACTGTTCTAAATTTGGAAGTATTATGTTGCAATGTTAGTCAGATAGACCTGAATTAGAATCTTAGATTCACCAATATTTGGTTGTATTATCTTGGGTAGTTAAATTCTTTTCAAGACAGAAGTCAGCAGAATATCGTTGCTAAAATGAGAAAAACAGAGCTAATCCAAATTGCTATTATGAGAGCTAAAATGAGTAGCATATATGTTAACACCTAGTAGAGTTCTACTCTTGGGGTTCAATAATTATTACTTTTCTCTCTACTCCCCTACAACCATCCCTTATATCCCCTATCCCTTTCTCTCCCACCTTAACCTCAGAGCCCCCACTGTTTATTAATATCCCCTAGTTTTTGTTTTTTAAAGATTTTATTTATTTTTTGTGGAGAACTGGGGTGTAGGCCAGAGGTGTAAAGGATGAGAGGATTCACCAGAGACAGAGTGGGGGAGCAGAGCAGGTAGATTTACTAAAATAGACTGTTAAGGGGAGCAGTGGGTAAGATAGGAGAGATCTGCTGTGCCATATGCGGGTCAGCTCCCTGGCCAGGGAATGAACTCAGACCGCTTCGGTGGGCCATCAAGGTGACAGTGCTGAGACTTAACCCCTAAGCTACGAGGGAGGCCCTGTCCCTTAGTTTTTGTATCCACTATGTAAATATCCAGTATTTGTTTTTCTCATTCTGGTTTGCTTTACTATACCAAACTCCCCCCATTTTGCTATAAGTGGCTGCATTTCATTGTTTATATATTTAAGGTGATTATACTTATATGAAGGTCTGGAACAACAACTACAAAAACTAATGGGCTAGGAATCAGAGCAGTGGTTCCCTGGGTGAATGGGTTGGGAGAGAAGGAATAAGTGATGAAGCACACAAAGGGAGTTTCTGGCATGAGGAAATGCTTTGTATCTTGACAGGAGTGTGAGTGCACAGGTGTACACAGTTGTCAGAACTCACTGAACAGGACACATTAGAATTTAGTTTCACTCTGTACATCATATCTCAATGTTTAAAAGGAAGTTTAAAACTATTATGCTATTTTAAAAAAATGCAATTTATACACAATAAAAATGACTATTTCAAATGTTTGTATAACTTGAAATGTAATTTCTTGGGCAGAATTTACAAAAATGTTTTCCTAAATTGGGAAGAAAGGGAAGCAAAGTATGCAATACTTTTAGTCAAATCACTCAAGTGTCGAATCAATGGCACTGCAGAAAATTCACTATGATATCAGGGCTAAATATATTAAGGTGTCAGAAATGCACTGCTAACATTGTAGGATGTTTAATCAATGTTTCTAAAAAGCCTACAGAGACGATATGAAAGCTGAAAAAAAAACAAAACCCTCATTTCCTGGAAAATCACTTCCCTAATGTTATCAGATAGTACTGGATTTAATTTTCCATGTCATTTCTGCTGAGTTTGGTTCATGAACTTGGTTCATTTCTGCCATTTATGCCCCTCTTCTTGTGGCACATGCCAGCATAACAGCTAATGCATGAATGTTAAAATCAATAGATCTGATAATGAAAGTGATCAAGGAGTGACAAAGAGGAGTTCCTCCTTCCCATGGTGCTACTGCATACGTAACATCTCGGCCATTACCAAGCTATCACAATCTATTTACTGTTTACTCTTCAGTATTAGTGTGTCTGCTTGGTAGCAAGATAGCTGTTTCATTACTAAATTCTACCTTGTACTTTGGCTTTGGAATCAAAGAGATAGGAGTTTGAAGATTAGCTCTGCCATTTATTAGATGTGCGCTCTTGGGCAAGTTACTTTACCATTGTCAATTTTGTTATCTATGGGGAATGTTAACATAAATATCCCATGTTGTGAAGATTAATTTGTAAAGATTGAATGAAAACAAAAATATTTTAAGCTCAGTGGCTGGCACAATACAGGTGCTTAACAAATGATAGCTGCCACTATACAGTTCCAGTCCTCGAAAACACTATGTAAGAGATACAGGTCCTGGCCACTGCCCTCTGTATCCAAACCACCAGGACACTTAAACCATAGCTTTTGATTAACAACCAATTAACATAAAAAGGCAGCATACCCTAATTCTTAAGTCTGACCAAGAAAAAAAAAAAAGTCCATCACACCAATCAAGCATAGATAAGGTCATAGAAAATAAGCTAAAAGGGATATACACACACACACGTGTTATCAAATAATCACACAAGAACCCAAGCTTCACAGATAAATGGAAATTTCCTTACTAAGCAGATACACTCCATGTTTCCCTATCAGACCATGGATTTATCTTAGATCCATCACTACTAAAAGTGCTATGGACACAGATGGGCAAGTAACCCCTCACCACAGATGAAGTGGTTTATGATGCAGTTCACATGGCAGATCATGTAACATAAAGAAAATATTTACCTGTTTCTCTTCATCTGGCATGTTTTTTTCCAGTTCCATTAGGTATTCTTCATCCGGTTCGGAGGGAGTCACATCATCATCGGCTTTGTTCTCAACCTTGTCCACTCCTGGCTCTTCGTCCTCCTCAAACGAGGACCTGCAGGCGTGAAAGCACTCCTCTTCTTCCTGGTCTTCGTGGGGATGGGCTTCAGCAGCCTCCCGCAGCTGGCTCTGAGAATGGTCATCTTTGGGATTAGAAAACACAGGGCGAGCACATGCTGCTTCCTGGGGATCTGTAACTTTCAAACCATTGAAAAGATCTTCTGGAACACTACAGTTCTCCGACTTCTCCCCCATGCTGAATGAGTGAGGGAGGTGAAGCTGAAGCTCTGCGAAAAGAGGAAACATGTTAGGCAATAGAACTCAATGTTTGTTTACTAAGTCAAATTTTATTGATTTGCTATTTGTTTACAAAACTATAATTTTGGAAGTACACTTCATACCTCAATTATGTGCACATGGCTCCCTCACCTTCCACCAAAACTCCAGTGCCACTACATATCATATTATAACCCCCATAACCACCGTATTTCTCACAAGCCAAAGAGTTATTTTTGTTATATTTTTTGTGTTTTGCCAGTCATTTGTTCCACAAACGAGTGCAACCATCAGGTAACTTTCTTTTCCTTTCTGACTTATTTCACTTCACACCATCACTTCAAGTTTCATCCCTACTGTCACAAAAGGCACTGGCTCTTATGTTAAAAAAAAAAAAAGTTCTAGGGTGTCTCCCTGGTGGCGCAGGGGTTAAGTCTCAGTGCTATGAAGCTATTGCAGCATGAGCGCCATCCCCAGCCAGGGAGCTGACCCACATGGCGCAGCAGACCTCTCCTGTCTGCCCGCTGCTCTCCTCAGCAGTGTATTTCAGTAGATCCGCCTGTTCTGCTCCCCACTCTGTCCCTGGTGAATTCTCTTAACACCCCCTCCCCCAACTCTGGCCTCGAATCCAGTTCTTGTATGCATAAATAAATCTTAAAAAGTTCTGCCTATCACACCTAAACAAACCTTTGCATCAAAACCCAAAATACACTCTAACTTCCTTGTAATTCACTATTTAAAAAATCAGGTTAAGCCCATAAATAATGCTAAAAGTCATTTTCAGACTTATAAGCAACAAAAGCGATTTTAATGTGACTCTTCCACCTCCCACCGCTTGCATTTTCGTTTTGTCAAGACAGCGAAAAATAAGTTAGACGCTAGCTAGAACACTGGCAAGGTTCTCATCTTTGTTTAGAATGAATAGTCAGGTCATGATAAGCAACTACCGGCCCGTCTTTCCAGCACAGCCATAGAAACTAAAGAAGTTTCTGGTGGAGCTCGAGCTGCAATCCGTGCCAAGAGTGCTCAACTTGCCCCAGCTGCGTGCGGTAGGGCCCAATGGTTTTAGTGGGTATGGCGCAGGTGACCCTAACCAGGATGCCCGTGGGGGTTCAGAACCAAGCACTACGGAGTGTTCGTCAACCCTGGCGGCCCAACAAAACACTGGGACGCTTTTAATCCTCCAGGTTCTGATTTACAGGTCTGGCGTCGGGCCAGGGTATCTGTATTTTTAAAAAGTCACTTCAGGTGATTCCACTGTGCAGCTAACTGAGAAATACTGTCGTAGCCGCTGAGTCAGGCGTTGGCAGCCCCGGCCTTCTGGTCGCAGCTACGTCAACGACCCCTGTGTGGCGACAAAAGTCCAAATTCGCCCCAATTCCGTCCCAGAAAATTAAAAAATTGCAAGACCTTAATACGGAGACTTCACCTTCAGAGTAGTGTTTTGTTTCTCCCCGCTCGAAGTCGTCTGCGACTCCAGGGTTAAGGAGATGACACCCCACTCCCAAGAATTGTACCCTAGTTGCGTCCCTCACCGAAAAGAGGACAGACCCAGGTAGCTTACTCACAGCTTCACAGCCCCCTCGCGTCCTCACCTTCCCAGGTGCTGGAAGCCTCTGCTTCCGCCCAGCCAAGTGCACTTCCGTCGGCGCAGACCAATGGCGTCGCTGTTGGCAAAGCATCCTGGGAAATGTAGTGAAATCCACAGGAGGGAGGACGTCGCCGTGTGACGCAATTGTACGGAATATGAATGAAGGTTGCCATCTTCGAATACGGCTGCAGTCCGCCTTAGTTTGCGGACTTGGGGAAAAACGGGTAGCGAAAGGCTGAATTCTGGGTGTTGGTTTTTCCTCCTTCACTCTAATCGCTTATGTTAGCAACAGATAGAGGAATCCTGAAGCATAAACCTCTAGCAGAAATAAATTTTCCCTTTCATGGTTCTCAATGTGCATTTCAAAGAGTTCACTTCGCTATCAAAGCAGTTTTCATAATACTGAGTTGTTATTTGCTTTTCCCAGACTCTTCTTCCGACTGCACAGTGTTTTCCAAAGGTTATTTGTCATGTGATAGCGCAATGGCTTGAATGCAGAAGGTGCAATGAAAATCCAGCTGTCTTCTATTTAGCCAAAGCATTGCAAAAACGTAAAACAATGCCACTCTTCTCACTATATTTATTTCGGGAGATATAGTTATTATTTATAAAATGATTGTTTGTGTTTGTATATAATGTGTGTATTGCTAGCTTCAATGACCTAAGAAATAATTTTCATTCAGTTCTGATTTCCAATACAGTGAATATGGGTATAATCCTTCTAAAGGCTTTTTTTGATCCTAATAATATTAAAGAGTGTATAAAGGGGTCTTGGAACTAAAAGCGAACTGCTGCCTTATATATTTGTTCAAGAAATGTTTACTGAATGTTTATTAAACTCCTGGCATTGTGCTGGGTAAACAGAATCAAGACAACCTTTAAGGTAGACAGGTTACCAGCAATAACAGCAGAGGATTAGTTTTCTGTAATTAGTAACACCTATTGCAGAGATATCTGGAAAGGATTTTTTCAGGATGTGTATTTGTAGGGTAAGTGACATAGGATTTTACTCCGGTAGCCTCTGTAGCTAGCCCCTGCAGCCTTGAATGCAGGATGCGCTTGAGAATGTGGGCGCAGGGCACATATGCCTGACTGTGGACACCTGGAGTATGATGAGGGCATACGTAAGTGGGAACACCTGACCCTAGAAGCTGAGGCAATAAAGGCAGCATTTCACAGAGATAGAACAGCTACATCCCTTCCCCCACTTACCCACCTGCAGATTTGCCCCACAACAAATAATAAACTTGAACTAAAATTTCAGCTTTCTTTACGAGCTGCCAATAATTTCAGTAGCTAACTTATTGGCTATGTGCTTAGTTAGGTGCTGCAGCTGTGGAAAATGCTTTAGGTAAATTATTTGACCACTTGAATTCTAATTCTGGCTTTGCCATGTGACTAGATGTGTGACTTTGAGGCAAATTATTTAATGCTTCTAAGCATTAGCATATAAATTTACTTCAAATGTAAAAAACTGGGATAGGTGACAATGGTACCTCTGTTTTAAAGGTTGTTGGCTTTTTTATATAATCTAGAAGACAAAGAGCACAGGGCTTGGCACATAGTACTTAGTAAGTGTTAGGGCCAGCAATAATGTGACAGGCCATGTGCCAACAGCTGGGTACCATAAACCTCATAAGACACCATTCCTACTTACCGAACCCCACGCCTCCCCAGAACTCACAGGGTAGTGGGGGGTGGGAGAGGGAGGATACAGCACTTATTTTGCCCAAAGGGAACCTACGTTCATTGAAAAAATGGAAACTGATATGATGAATGAATAATGAATGAATTCTGGGGAGGGATTGGGGTCAGAATGGGGGGTTGCAATTGTATGGGGAATATAAAAATAAAATTTATTATTTAAAAAAAAAGAAAGAAAAAAAATAAAATAATGAATGAATTCTAATTCTTGGCATCCAACCAGGCCCTGTAGTGGGTCCAGCAATACATAGGAGAGTAGCAAAGGAACTACCTTCTCTCTACGCTTCTTTCTAAGGGAGCAGCCAGGTGGCTTCCTGGTGTACTCTGCATACCCCTCAATCAGTAAGGAATTACCCACTCAGTCTGTAGTCAGTCCTGTGCTGGGAGCAGGGAAGGGACTAGGGAGAAGTGAGTTGGAAGTGATGGAGGATGCAAGAGTAGGTCTCTCACGTAACCGGTGGCTGAAGCCAAAAGACTATTACAGGTGGTGCCCCCTGGAGGGGGTTGCTGATGAGTGATGATAGCTCCAGGAAAAATGCTAGAAAGTATTACATTCTGGGGTGGAGCAACTGATAAGTAATGTGAGGTACTGCAGAAGGGGCGGATGGGGTCTTTGTCAGTGAGAGTTTGGGGATTCAGTGTGAGGGTCAGCGGATTTGGGACCCCACCATGCCGATCTTCCAGAAGGCTGTTGTGGGCTTTCAGCAGCCAACCTCAGAGAGGAAGAGGTTGGAGGCTTTGTAAGTAGCCAAATGACTGAAACTGTTCCCAATTTTGCAGCTGTTGCCGCCTGGCAGAGAAGAAAAAGACACGGAGCCAGCTGTCTTACTGAGATGTAAGTGTGGCCTTTTGTTGGGTCATTTGACCACTGTAGTTGTTGTTTTAGGGTCACCTGTCTGGTGCTGTGCTGGGGCATCCCGGCAGCTTATGGAGCATTTCCTGTTGTGTCTTCTGGTGTCTTCATGAGTCGAAACCTGGCCTATAGTCTGGCTGCCACCTGTCCACAGCGGCAGGAAGATGCCATCTTAGACACGCTGCCTATTGTTTGGGAGAAGAGCTCTGTGTCCTCAGTGGCGGGAAGACGCCATTTTAACTGTTTGTGTGCAGGACTGAAAGACACTAGACCCAGCATTGGTTGAGATAAAGGCCATTATTGGCCTCAGTAACTCTTCATTTTTTCCTGATTTGTTAAATAAATCCCTTTGTTGTTGTATTTAGAATTCAAATATTTACAGAACAAAAAGTAGATTCACATACCCAAGTTTGTTCAAATATATTTGCCCAAGACTGAGTCATTCATTAGTTTTTTAAATTGAAATTTGATTTAATTAAAATGAAATAAAATGAGATTTAAATCCTTGGTTGCATCAGCCACTTATCAAATGTTTAATAGCCCCATGAAGCTAGTGTTGGCTATAGATATGATAGGCTTAGACTTTCTAGAACAGCTAACATTCATAGAAAACTTATCTGTGCCAGGGCATGGCCTCATAATTGTAGGCACAGCTGACCCTTGAATAACATGTTTTGAAGCACACAGGTCTCCTTATACATGGACTTTTCCCATAAATATATATGTCCCTTCATGTCCACATGTCCACAGAGGTTCCAAATTTGTGGATTCATCCAACCTCGGTTGTTGATTGGTTGAATACTTGAATACAAAACCGATAGGTATGGAGGGCCAACTATAACAGATATAAGCATCTGAGGATTTAGGTATGAGTGGGGTGTCCTGGGATCAATCCCCCTCAGATACCCAGGGACAACTGTAGTACTTTTGGCAGAGTCAAAGTTATATATGGATTTTGAGTGTGCAAGGGTGTCGACAGCCCTAACCCCTTCTCCTTCAAGGCTCAGCTGTAATCCTAATAACCCTGGCTTTCTTACCTTTATTCTTGTTCCCTGTAATTGCTTCACCGTGCGGTAACCAGCCTCATTTTTTGAAAACATGAATCCTATATACATCTTCATGAATTTTCATTGACTTCTCACTCTGATTAGAATAAAATCTAAAAATTCCATGCCATGATCCATCAGATCCATGCGATCTGCTCTCTACCTAACTCTCTGACCTCTTCTTCTGTTTTTAAGGATTTATTTATTTATGCATACAATAACTGGGGTAGAGGCCAGATGTGTGGGGTGTGAGAGGATTCACCAGAGACAGAGTGGGGGAACAGAACAGGCAGATTGACTGAAAAACACTGCTGAGGGGAGCAGTGGGTGAGACTGGAGAGGTCTGCTGCACCATGTGGGTAGCTCCCTGGCTGGCCGGGGATCGAAGTTGTGCCACAGAGGATGCAGATAACTTCATAGTGCAGGAATTGGGGAATCAGACTGATCAGGATTTAGCCCCTGACTAGTCCTGTAAATTTGGACAAGGTCCTTAACCTTAATTAACTTCAGATTCCCTATGTCACATGGAGTCATAACAATATTTCCCTTTTAGGGCTATTGGGAATAGGTGAGTGTGAGTTGGCATATGTGTAATACTTAGTACATAGTCTTTAATTTTTTTAAGATTATAATGTTATCAACATTAGCCTTTTCAGTTCCTGAGGGCAGGAGCCACATCACTTGTGTCCTCTGTGTGTGGCACAGTTCTTTGAAAATAGTAGGTACTCAAGAAATACTTGTCAACAAATGAATGAATGATCTTTTATGAGTCCCAAGATAAGAAAATGGTTTGTTTTCTGTTGGAATCTATTTTTATTTATTTATTCCAATTTTTCTTCAGTTTCATACCAAGCATTGTCTGCTTAACTCCATTAATTAAATTTTTGGACAATATATGATTTCTCCCCTCAGGTATGGTCACTATAGTTCTCCCACCATCCAAGCACCCATAGTCCATCACCATATTCCCTTGTGCTTGTCCCCCAACCCCATTTTCACCACTTGTTGGAATTTTTTTAAACTCAAAAGTAGACTTCTCTTTATCTTTTTGAATTTTATAAAGCTTTCCCCCAAGCCTAACTTTAAATCAGATTTCATATATAGTGAAGACTCCAGCATCAGTCTGAAATTCTCATTAACCAGAAAAAAGTGGCAGCTTCTATTGTGCAACCAAATATCCTCTCCAACATACACCTCCCAGGGTATTTCCATAAATCCTGGGGGGAACTGACTGAAATACCATCTTGTTTAGCCACCGTCTGGTGTGGCTAAGCTGACTACTGCACAGGCCCCTGTGTCTGAGGTTTGCATCTGCGAGAGTCTTCAGTAACACTCCAAACACTACTCCAGCCCTCCCTTTAGTCTCGTCTAACAAATAAGATATTTGTAAATCTCTATCTTGTTATTTAAAACATTAATTATGGCCACCCTTCTGGATTTCTTGGA